AGGCGAATGCAATGGTTGTCCATTAATATTTTGTGGATTTTCTTCCGCAGGAATCGACAGTTTTGTTTATTTAGAAGTGAAAGTGAGCCTCATCAGGAAGATGATTTTCATACAAAAATTGCAGTTGGAGAACGATTATTTTGCTAATAAAATTGAATAATTTGTAAACGTTGTTCCTGCGTATATCTTTCCATGGTTAGGTAGGGAAGATCAGTTGGCAGCGTCCTAGGAAGGATCACACTTGGACAGCAACGCCGGTCCGTTGTGGTACCCAAAACTCTATAGAGCCGGATCAATGACCCGTACATGACAAAGCGCTTGTCCTATGACAAACTTGTTGAGTGGCCAATATCTGTTTCGCCAGATCTTCTGTACCGCCAAAGTATATGGTTGCCGAGATTTTTCAATCTCAACCTAGCAAAAGCCGGACAATGGAGGAGAAAGTGCCGGGATGTTTCCACTTACCCCTCCATACAGCTTTGACAACTGCCATCGGTAGTTCTAAGCCGCACCATGAGTTCCCATTGGACAGTGCCCAGTGAGAACTCCTACCATGGCGGCGAGGTGAACTTTGTTCAAGGCGAGAAGATCCCCTGACCTCCTGCGATCCACTCTCGGCCAGAAGGATCGCGCAGTCGCGCAGGAGCTGGTCGCGACCAGCGTTCTGCTGAGCTCCTGCGGTCCATTGAGAGCGAGAATGCGAACGTGTGGAGAACCAACCCGATCCCATTCCGATGTGAGCGGGCAAGGGTACCCCCCTGGCCAGCTCATCGCCTAATTCCCAGCGATTCCGCTGTGACCAGGCACCCAAACAGGCCTGATTTGAAGTACCTGATGCTAATTCTAGCGAGGACAGACACTTCTTGACTGCTTTGAATGCACGGTTCGCGCACTCAGAACTGTATTGCCGCTCTGCTGCTGCACCTGACACTACGTAACAGTACTTCTACCGCCCTGATCGCGGCCACTTCCGCCTGAAAACTACAGTGGTCGTAGCCTGAAGCAAGAGATTGACGAGAGCTCTTTACAGAAAACCCCTCAACCTCTATGGCTAAATCAGGTGAAAAACTCACCGCGCCTATTCTCCAGCGGCTTCTTCCCCTCCACATCTCCCTCGTCGGGATATGAGCAGAGAAAAAGCCGCCTCGAGAGGCCGCTTCCATGGTAAAATTGTAAACATTACTGAATGCAATAAAAAAATTATAGATAATGACATATTAAAAATGGCCGAAACTTAGAAATTATATCAGCCATTTGAAAAACCCGATATATACTCTGTAGCAACATATTGCAAGAGTATAAAAAATACACTTACCTCAAAGTTAAAACTTGTTTTTGCTCTGCAAAAATTACTTTTCTTTGTTTTGTAAATCACTTTTTATAGCAACATATTTAATACTTGTATAATATATTTATTGGGCTTATGGTTAAAATATGATGTATAGCCCCTAACCGAACGTCATAAAACAGCTCATATCGAGTTTTATCAATTAATAATAATTATTTTCTCATCCCCATCAGATATATTTTATGCGAATACATTGATAGTTGGGTCATTGATACGTGGACGATAGGCAAAATAATATATATATAAAGAAGTTTATACCTATCAGCAACACAATGCTCAATTTCGATTTGGACGTGACACGAAAGCAGCCTTTTAGCCATAAATGTTCCCCCACTGCATGGGTTTACCTTAGTTCCACAAATTAATCCTTTTAAAAATAAAAAAAAATGTTTTCCGTGAAAATGTTTTTTTTTCAATTACGAAAAGGCTTTGTTTGTAGCCTCGATCTTTAATGTCCAAATAGCACTACCACAAACAAAGAAACTGTTTGAAGTAGTAACATCAATCTATATAAGTAGTGACCATACTCGCGCCATGTATCACAATTAAAATATTTTCCTTGCAAATTTACATACTTTATATACCTACATACATACATATATAGAGATGTAATAATTGTTTCGAAAACTATTCCGGCAAGATGACAAAAAACCATTTGGTCGCAAATTCTTTCTTAATAACTCGGTGACAAGACAATGGCTGCATACATGTATTTGATGAATTATCGTTAATGCCTACACTTACATAACAATATACAATACATATTTAGATTTGTATATTTTTGGTTGAGGAGAATTTTTTCAATTATTTTTAGATTATTCGAGTCTTATACATAATTCCATGATGAAATTTGTTTAAATGCACTACTAAATATTATATTTATGTTCTGAAGTACTTTCGTACTTTATAGTATATCTTATTACTGGGCAAAACTGGCATTTATAAAAGTGTAACTTTATATCGTTGTGTATTATTTAAATATAAACATCTTATGAAATCACAATTGGCGACAAGAAAAATCGAATGTATGCAATATTCATCAATGAAATATCATTAAAAATTCTGCACAAAATTAAATTCATCTGCTTGCAACAAAAACACTTTCAAATTGGAAAAATTCCTGTTTTTTGTTCCTTTTCATATACGCCTTTGCCATAATACCACAATTAGGCTAAATGCAGACTATGAATGAAATTGTTTACAGCGTTTCTTGTTATTGTATACACAACTGCAAATTTTCGCAATTTCCCACAAAATAGTTTGCCTCACTCATTGCATTTACCTATGCTGCCGATCTTCAGCTTTTCCCCGCACACACATTTTGCCAGCGGGTATTGGCCAGAGTCTATGTGTGTAGAAAGCAAATGTGTGTATGGAGGCGGGGGGGGGCTGTTAGTTTGCTCTACTCAAATCAAGTGGACAAAATGTCATTTGCATAAAAACATGCAACATCATGAAATTGCAAGAACTGCTGAGGTGTAACCTCCCACGCCATTGGTACGTGCGCCTCGAGCTAAGCTTTGCACCACGAAACGTACACGCACACATAACGGAGGGTGCATGTACACCTTGCATTGTTGGTGTGTGTGTGTTCGATTGTCCGGTTTTTCTCTTTTCTATTGCCAGACTTCAGGTTATCAAGTTGAATTTGTTGCCTTTATACTACTTTTGCATGCAAGCAACTAACGGTAATACGTGTTACTGCTGTTCACATCTACGCACACACAAATACTGCCACATGCGAGTTTGAATTTTTCGTGCAAAGTGCACGTACAAACGCCCTAAAATATGCAACAACCTCACTAGCACTAACTTTGTCTCTTATTCAACTGTGCGCCATGTCCGTCTTTGTGTGAGCCAAACACGCAACATTAAGGTGCAATTCACCGGCACTAACACTTTGCAACTGACTGCAAACAGAACACACATGTGTACTGATATATACGAATGCGTGTGGTTATCCATGTAAAATTGAGCGTATACATATCTGCATTTCCCTAGCAGCAACACCACCTTACCCTTAGCGTAGCTGCATAGATTGAAAAAGGAAGTACTTTTTTAGGTTGTGAGTTTAACAACCTCGTCATAGTCATTGTCGTTGCTAGCGGAACCAACTCAGCTGTTAGCAGCAGCGCAAGGCTTTCACTTTTAAGTCAACACACCCAAGCATGGGCAGACCCTGTAGGAAATGCGGTGCATCAACTTTATTTGTTCATTACGCACGCTTCTAACGCTTATTTATTCCAGGATTTTTGATGTTTAAAGAGGTCTATTGTTAACGATGGATTGAAAAAGAACTAAAAATTATTTTTGCACAAATTTTTTTAATTTTTTTATTAATTAATTAATAAAACTGGGATATAGAACAGTAGTTAACTTCGATTGCACCGAAGCTATCGTTTACTTAGAAATATCGATCTGAAAAATTTCTTCGCAGATGGCGTACTGCCTTAGATAATAATACATGCCAAATTTCGTGAAGATATCTCGCAAGCACTTGATCCCGATCCTTCAGTTTGTATGCATAGTGGCGCGATTCCGACAAAGGAAGGGTGCAAAATTTCAGATCGATATCTCAAAAACTGAGGGACTAGTTCACCTATCTACAGACAGACGGGCATGGCTTAATCTTGTGACCTATGTAAAATTTCATTGAGATCGGTTGAGTAGTTCGCGAGAAATCTAGACTTCGAAAATGTAGTTTCGAGATAAACGCTTTTAATGTTTTAAGTGATTATTTAGCTGACCTCGAGCGCGCAACTTCTTAAGGCTGTATCTCAAAAACTATTACTCAGATCAACTTGAGCATTAAGGACAATATTCTAGAAATGTTACAGAATTAAATATATTTAAAAAATCGATCTTGTGATAATCATATATATACATATTTTATATTGTCTCCAACGTTTCCTTCTGAGTGTTACAAAGTTCGTGGTAAGCTTAGTATATCGTGTTCAGAGTATAAAAAGAAAAGAATAGACTTAAGTGAAACTAGAGTGAAAAATAAAAACAATTTCTTACGATTTACATCGCCCCATTTAACTTTTCAGGACAGATAGACCTGTGCTGTCAGGTGTTTATGCGCGTACAGCTTTTTGGGTTGTTTTTATTTTCTTAAACAGGAGTTTGTTTATTTGTTCAACAGTTTGTTTGTCCTTTAAAGTATATGCATAACGAACTGTACGCACATACACATACACACACACATCTGTTTTTCTTTTTTAATGAAGGCAAGCGTTCAAATTCACATTTGTTTGCCGAACTCTGTTCTTTTCATTTTGCTTTTAATCTTACTCTTACTTTTTGTGAAATTCACACTCGTTGACCTGAATCCATCGCTGCCACCTTTTTTCACCTTCCGCTGCAAGCAAATTGTTCCCTCTGGTGAATCGAGCGCCCACAGGCAGGTGAGCGGACGATTGGTGTGTCTTAATGCAGGCACTTCTGTAGGCGTTTGTCCGTTTTATTGCTCATTTAATTTACATTAAACTCATGATTTTATATATGAGTACATATGTACATATCCTTTTGTTGCTTATGTTGATGAGCGAATACATGTATATACTTGTAACATGCCATTGCTCTAATTATGTATTACTAACGCTAATTAATTAAGTATAAACAACTCATTGTTTTCCCGTTTCCGTTTCAGCTTTAATTGTGCGTTTCCTCACTAAACGTTATATCGGAGAATATGATCATCAAACAGGTAAGTGATTATTTATTTCAGGTTCAAATACAAATTTATCTTAATCACTTTTATACGAGGGCAATATTAGCGAAATGCATTTATTTCTACAGTATACTTAAAATAGAAAGGGAAAATTATATTGTACAAATGTACTAGGAAGCATGCATTCGAGTAGTCCAATATCTTATCTGCCTATTCACACCAATTCTGTAAAAGATAAGCGCGCTCTTGCAAATCGCATTATTAGAACATACGATTTCACTGTTATTTATGATCCTCCCTAGGACTTTGAATTCAAATAAGAATATGAAAGCCTATGCTATATTACAGTAAACGATTTTAATTTATTTCGGAGTTTTCCGAAAATTTTCGTAATTACTAATAAGAGCAATTTTACCCTGAACAGGTTATGGTATATTAAGTTTGCCATGAAATTTGTAAACCCCTAGAAGGAAGCGTCGGACACTTTATAAAACATATATTTATATAATGTGTGTAGCCATATCCGCCTGTCCTTGAGATTTAAGCAAATTAACAACTCTTTTTGCTAGAAGCACCAGTCCTTGGCTGTTCATTAAAATAGCAGTGCGTATCTTGATAAGCCAAAAAAAATTAGTTTAGACGTTTAATTGATAAAAAGTAGGTGGTTTTGTGTTAGTGACTATTATTAACATTAGAACACACTAAAATAAATTTATATTTTTAAAATTAATGGGCAGGGGCAAACATTGTACTCCTGAAAAAAGAAATATTATAGTGCAACTAAGAAACCTGGGAAAAACATATAAAGACATCCAAGAAATATGTGGATGTTCTGCTAAAATTATTCATAATACTTTAAACTTTAAAGAAATGCTCAATAATCGTGGTATCCAACGTAAAACCATACCTCATGAGGACCGATCTATTGTGCGATATAGCAGGGCGCAGCCTTTTGCATCGTCCAGCAAGATAAAAAATGACTTAAGCTTGAATGTTAGTGGCGTTACTATTCGGCGAAGTCTTAAAGAATAAAATCTCAAAGCGTGCCATCTACGAAAAGTTCCACTGTTAGCCACCAGACATGTCAAAGCACGTTTGGAGTTCACCAAAAGTCACCTTAATTGGCCCATTACAAAGTGGAGAAATATTTTATGGAGTGACGAAAGTAAAATTGTGTTATTTGGTGAAAAGGCCTCCAGACAATATGTCAGACGTCCACCTAACACAGAGTATGATCCTAGGTACACTTTGAAGACAGTTAAGCACGGCGGATTGAGTATTATGGTATGGGCATGTTTTTCTTACAGTGGAGTGGGCCCTATATCCATGATTGATGGGATCATGGATCGATCTGTATATGTTAACATATTAGAAAATGTTATGTTTCCTTATGCCAATTGGGAAATGCCACTAAAATGGACGTTTCAACAAGATAATGACCCCAAACATACAAGCAAACTGGTCAAAGACTAGATGGCATCAAAGCGGATCGATCTTATGTCATGACCTGCGCAGTCTCCGGATTTAAATCCAATTGAAAACCTATGGGAAGATGTTAAACGATATGTTGCAAATGCAAATCCAACATCTCGATCACAGCATTGGGAGGTTGTTCAAAAATCATGGAATCGGATCCCTGTCAAGCGCTGCCAGGACTTGGTGGATTCTATGCCTCGCAGATGCCAGGCCGTAATAAAAAATAATGGGTACACGACTAAGTACTAACCCAAGCAAACAAATAGTTTTTTGGAGTTCAACAATGTTTTTTTCAACTAATTCCACTGTTTTCATTACTCACTGCTATTTTTATGAATAGCTGTAAACAGCACTTTTTTGTTTAAATTAATAATGTAAAAAAAATTAACAACATTTTGAATAATAAATTGATTTTTTTTTTTGTTCAAAATAATCAGTTAAAACAAAATTAAATTTGTGAACATTCATTTACTTTTTGATATATAAAATTAAGTTTAAAGTTGCAGCTCATGAGCACTGCTATTTTTATGAACACAGCTGTATATACTGGTATGAATTTAAGTATGTTTATAGAAATTTTAGTTTCTTAAGTTAAAAAGATGAATTTGATGACAATTCTAAATATTTTTAAAATATTACATAAAAAAACGTAAATCGTCCGCGAAACAAGCAGCAATTAATTAAATAAATTAGGCAGTTAAATAAGTTGAGGTGGTAACCCATTGAAATCATCGATACAGTTTTTCGTTGTAAATAATTTTTTGATTAATATTATACTATCTCTTCGACATATCGGTAGAAAAATTCAATTTTCACTGTGCAAAGTCCCGAACGCCCATTTAAGCGAAGTGCTGTAAAAATTCAATTACCGCAAATGAATTATAAAAGCTGCATAAATGAATTCCAGGGAGGATTCCATCTACTAACATACATAAACATATGTATATATGGCGTATATATATAGTATATATGTATATAAATATTCGCTCATTACGTGTCACATGCACCGTGTGATTATTAGTTTTACTTTTTATGTACTTACATGAGAATGTCAAAAAAAATTTTATTGCTCACGTATTTTTTGTAAAAAAGACACAGCTAAATTACAGTCATAACATTTAATAATGTAATACAATAAAAAAATAAGTAATTCGATCAATAACTTCACTATTTCACAATTTAATTTGATATTTCATGTTCAATAATACAATTTTGTTATAATTTTACTGATATACTTTCAAAATTGTAACTCTATAAATTTTCACGTGAATGTGTATGTACTCATGTTTCAGGCCTTAAGCGAAGAAAATCTCAAACATCAATGGCAAGGAACCAGCTGTCCTATATCACACCGCAGATTGCATATCTGATTTAAAATATCTCACAAGTATTAAGTACCTCAATTTGTTATTTTATACAGTAAATACAGAACGTATACAATTTTTTGCCCCTATATCCCTTATGAGCTATGATAAACAGGGATGCTATTGTATTAGTTGCCTTTTCCACTGACATGAGTGTTCGATGGTAACCCTGCAACCGATTAGTCTCTATAGGGTGCCAATGGAAATGAGCCAGTCTCCAAACATATCTTTAGATACAATTAGCTTTTAACTATGAAAAACGAATACTTTTAGATATAGGTGAGATAGATTAGTTGATTTTGTTTACGTATCCATCTAATTCTACTATATACAAGAAATCACATCCACACCTACTGCCTATAACATTTTATATAGTACATCTGTTTGCCAAAAACAAGTTGAATCGGGTCAATATTTCGCTTAGCCTCCTATATCTAAAAAGAAATTTTCGAACTTTGGCTTCCTTTATATCCTATATTCTGCTATAATGTGAGTTATCAATAAATTGAGTGGGTGCGTCTTTTTTAACGGTGCATCTTTGTGCCTCAAAGGGATAAAATCGGATGAAAACTTGCCCTAGCCCTCATATAACTAATATCAGGATTTTCCAACATCCGAGTAGTGAAGTAATGAAACCCAGGTAGCATTGTTTTAAAAATCAATATTTACCCAATTTTTTAACTCTCGCAACCTGTTGCTACAGAGTTAATAGTTTTGTTCACCTAACGGTTGTTTGTATCACCTAAAATTAATCGAGTTAGATATAGTTTATATATATAAATGATCAGGATGAAGAGACGAGTTGAAATCCGGGTGCTGTCTGTCGCGTCCGTTGTCCGTCCGTCCGTGCAAGCTTAACTTGAGTAAAATTTAGATATCTTTATGAAACTTGATAGACATATTTCTGGTACCGTGAGACGGTTGGTATTGCAGATGGGCGTATCGGACTGCCACGCCCACAAAACGCCATTAATCCAACAATAACTACTTGCCATAACTAAGCCCGCAATAAGATACAAACTGTTATATGTACACAGGATCACATTAGGGAGGGCATCTGCAGTTAAATTTTTAAAAGTAGGCGTGGTCCCGCCTCTATAGGTTTAATATGCTATCTCCTAATATAACAAAATTCACTAGAAGCAAATGTTTTAGCACTTCATTGACGGTGTGAAAATAGTTGAAATCGGGTGGCAACTCCGCCCACTCTCCATATAACGGTACTGTTAAAACTACAAAAGCGCGATAATCAAGCACTAAATACGTCGAGACAATAAATTTTATCTCTGAGAGGTTATAAGATGACTTATAGGAACGCGTTCAAAATTAGACAGTGGTCTGGCACAGCCACTTTTAGGTGAAAACCTATATCTTGAGATCTGCTTAACGATTTCAACCAAATTCGGTGCGTGACGTTCCTTTCATGTTTCTATGTCATAGTGCGAAATGGGCGAATCGGTTACACACGCCTATTTTCCATATGACACCATTTTTAATACCACTTGATTCTTTCACTTTCCACTATGCAAATCAAGCAACAATGATTATATCGGGTAAACTTTGCGTGAAATACGTTTAAAGTATGCCACCATTCTCTAAATCGAACCAAAACTGTTCAGCCCTAGGTACTGAATATGTGGACCCCAGTGCCTATAGTCGAAAATATCAGTCAATCCACAAAGAAATCTCAAACGAGTATACCATTTGACTTTGCGAGAGTATAAAATGTTCGGTTACATCCGAACTTAGCCCTTCCTTACTTGTTAAACTTTGGTTTGGCTTCATTTTGTACATATCGGCCAATATGTATGATATTTTAGTATGTGTAGTATAGTAATAGTATGTGGGTCAAGTCGATTCAGTCGGGTCAAAACAACCCTTAGACCCCATATACCTAATGTACAATTTTTAAACTTTTGATTGGCCTTACACCATATACGAGGTTTGTTTAAAAAATATCACGAATTTTGAATTTTCGCGGGCTTTCACAAAAACAAAATTTATTGTTGTTACAAAATGTTCTCAGGCGGTCAGACCAAGAGCGTGCCGAACGATCGAGCACGTCAACAACAAACGAAAACATTAATGTAGTGAAGAAAATAGTATTGACCAATCTTCGAATCACCATTAGTGAAATTGCTGAGAAACTAAACATATCGATTGTCTCGTGCCATTCGATTTTAACCAATGATTTAGGTGTGAGTCGGGACACCGCGAAGTTTCAGTCTATGTCGGTCGAATGTTAAGGTTTTACTCACAGTTTGTTCTCAAGTATTCAGCGTTTTACAATGACCGCCTGAGTAACTCCCAAGGATTGTGCGAGTTCTGCTTGTGTTTGGCAAAAAGCTTTATCGAGTAATGCTTCCAGTTCCTTATCTTTAAACTTTTTTGGCGGAATGAATTTTCACCATAAGCTTTCACTCAAATACGATGACTTTTGGCTGCGGTTTTATTCATATTAAAGTAATTAAAAAGAACACCCCGCAAAACACTTTTGCAGACGCAATGATCGACATAGTCGTGTCGGTAGCTTTAAAAATAGGAACATAAAATATTAACTTTTAAAGAACTTTTGCTTTCAGTAAAATTATTCGAAGCATATAGAAAACATATAGCTTTCACTCCATGACTGTCCTGAAAGCACGCAAACCCATATACTCCTACACATTCATATTTTTCATGTTTCACGTTAATGCCGTGATACCTCGCAACTGCTCTACACTTTGCACGATTTCCCACCCTTCCTTTCACAGTAAAGTGAGAAAATTTAATATACATTAGTGTTGAATGTGCCATGTACATATACACAGACACACAAGCGCATGCATATAGCTAAACTATAATATATGTATACATATATTACAAGTAGTACATAAAAGTGCATATAGAAATAAAAATTCAAAGCTCTTTTTCATTCGCTTATATTGCAGAAAATCGATATAAACATGAAGCGATGGTGGAGGGGGAGCCGGTGCTGTTCGAATTACTAGACACATGCCCCAAGGTAAGTGAATTATCCTGTCAATGCGTGTACACACACACACACACATACATCCATATTGACTGACTAACTGCCGCCACAGCAAGGACGATAAGAGTCGCAAGGACATTTACTGTACGTGCGACACGCATTACACAGTTCTGCACACACACACACAAATGCATGCACTTACTTTTATTGGGTGAAATCACTCCTGTTACTTGTTGACTCAACTGTGAACGCTGACGCAGAAGTCTGTTGACAATTTCATATACATATATTTACATACATACACAGGCACCTACATTTGCAGGTTTTCTCGGAAAGTACTTACATATACCGTATACATACTCGTACATACATACACACCGAGTTTTAAAAAATTTTAAGTAAAAGTCGTAAGTACACTCACGGCATTGAAGTCATATGGATGGTTATACATCTGTATATGTGTGTCAGCAGTGAGTTGCTGGAATAATAAGTTTATTTCCATTTTTCACATACTCATCACTCAGAGGAGGGCCAATCAGTCAGCTGACTATTTGTGTTCGTGCTCCTCTCACCATACTCATTGTCATGCATTTCCTTCTTTGCTTATTCATAAAAGAATTTATTGTTATTTTTTCTCTTTCCCACCACGACTGGCTGATGTCACCTCACAATGGTACACAAACACCAACAACCACAAATAAAACGAAAAATAATAATTGCGATGATGTAATATGTCATCGGCGCCGCTGCTGCTACTTCACGCCAACAACACAGGCTAATGATGAGTTTCCCAACGCCGCTGAGTTGGTGCAATGGGCCGACGGCCTTCTGCTCGTCTACTCCATCACCGATCGCAACTCGTTTAATTACATACGACGCGCCAAATCAGACCTACAATCCGATACACCAGTGCAATTAGTAGCCAATAAAGTGGATATGGTGCATTTGCGTCAAGTTAGTCGGGATGAAGGTGAAATCCTCGCAAAAGACTTTGAGTGCAAATTCAGCGAGGTCTCAGCGGCGGATCATGTCGATCAGGTGGCCGAAGTATTCCACGAACTATGCAAGGAGGTGCTGGCGTCGAAGCGTAAGTCGAAACAGAGCCTTTTGGAGCGTATGCTGGGCGGCGCACGACCCTACAGTCGAGGGAAGAGTGACAGCAATCTGCCGAAGGACTGATAAATACTGGTAACAGCTTGGCGGCGTCTTGAAAACAGACCGAGAGCGGCCAAGCATGCTTAAAGTTGGCGTGAAACGCACACACTTCAAGCGTCTCGGTTAATCAGTCGACGTTCGTAGGGTTAGCGAATTTTTAATAATTTCAAATATAATTGTGTTAACCTATTTTTATGTAGCGTATAATTTAATCGAACTTTATTTAATACGTTTGGCAATGCACGAATTTTTGTAATTAAAATAAGCTTTAAAATAAAATATACAAACATATTTGGTAAGGAAATTTAATTAACATTGAAACTAAGCGTATAGTAGTATTTAACGAGGATATAATAAAGGTGACTGAACTTATTTTGTTTGGAAAAAGATTTTAATATTTAACGGATCAAACGGCATATCCCTCAAAAGCTATTCATACAAACATACGTTCAGCGACATCTAGTTGTCAATGTCCGGCATGACAGAGTGCGACATACAGGTACGAACCTTGGCTAAAAGCTGGCGGTGAAGTTTGATTAGCAAATCTTCAAACCAGAGAATGTTAATGCCAGAGCAGAGAACGTAAATGAATTTACGTTCTCTGGTTTTATTCCTATTTTAATTTTGATAAATTTTTTTTATTAAATTTATTTTAATTTCATATCAATTTTTCCCTCATTATATAAAAGTTCTTCAAAATCTATTATTTCTTTTCGTTATTCTAATTTTCCTCAATACGCATACTAAAGAACATATGCGCATACATATATTAGCCGCTCCCTTATAAGGTGATGAAAATTTGCTTGGTTCCTTTTTAGAGTGTTGTAGTTTGTTGGATTTGAGTATTATGAGGGGAAAGTTCCTTTTTGACGTGGTGTAATTTAATTTTCGAATTTTCGTATTTTCGATGTTACCTTTTAACCATTTCTCGCGTGTTCAGACTTGCACGCGCGCCTTGTTTCCTCAGCAGTGCATTGATGCCGGCGTGAACGTGTTAATAATCTACATTTTAGCACAGCTAACATATGCGAGTTACATACAGGAGTTATCTGGCTATTAATATAAAACCCATGAAGTTATTTAAAAACATTAGGAATGGGACTATTAACCTAATAAAATGATTTTCACCACTTCCCTTAACTAATAATTCAATGATACATTAATAACAATCACAGAAGAAACCGGCCAATACCTTTGTCTACTGCAAAACAAAGTTTCTTTGATAAAAGTCACAAGCTTTTGATTGACATTCTCGTATTCAACTTTTCTTTCCCCAATTCAACTAGGCACTCAATATATTCTCATGTAGTAAATCAATCCATATACATACATATGTATGTATAGGTAAGTATACTGAGGTCTAGTTTAATGCCTTAACAAGAACACATTTTTTTACGTTTTATTTATGTATTTCTACATCCCCATTGTTGAGCACATACCTCATAAATTTGTATAGTAACTTTTATTTCTTCAAGAATTTGCAACACCTATCAATTAGCATTCCAACATCTGGGCGCAAAATACACACCTGTCATAATCCAATTAATAAACGGACTTATATATGTATACATATCTATTTATCTATAAATAGATAATATAGATGAAAGTTGAATGTATGGTAAATAAAAACGCATATATTGAACATGAAAATATCGCTCCAAAATTGACAGAACAAGGCCCAACTTATTATTATAGATTCAATAACAGAATATATAATCATGACGAATAGTTTTGTGAGTCAAACACATTGTTTACTATTCTGTGGGAAATACGAACCAACGAACTTTTGCTTATTCGCTGATATATCATGCACTTCGACCGTTTCAATACAAAGTTTTCCTAGACACCTGTGTACGACGATATATGTAAATAAATTAGATAACTGATGTCGATAGATTGTCGATAAAAACAGCTACCGGCGTAATTCGCCATAACTCAACAGTTACTACAAAAATATAGCATAATTTACATACTAATCGTTATCTCCCCATTCAGAACAGTACGAGTATGTAAGTTCCTACAAAGCACTTAGTTTATGCATTAGATAAGTCATTAGTAATACAAAATATATGTTCTGAGAATATTTATGCGCGTTCATATACTTGTATATAGTAAAATAATAAACATGTGTAGAAATGTTGTAATTAATGCGATGATTGATCAGTAGCGGCGGCTTAATTGACTAATACGATCCGCTTTATCGCCTGCGAGTGCAAACACATTCATAAAGATTTATTATAAACGCTATGAATATTAATCGCAATGCTTATGTCAAACGCATTTTGATAAGTCGATAATCAATTGTTTGTCGAGGATATGTCTCCCAACCAATTTATTAAACGGGTATGCTAGTCTAGCGGTATGAATATAAGGTATTTTTCGGGTGCCATATATAGAATTTATTTTTAGCATACATTTTTTACAAGATATTTATTCATTTTTAACAGTACAAAAAAAATTAGCAAACTAAAAACGCAAAATGTCATAAGCTCTTGAAATGTCATGCTCTTTGGAGGTTGAAAAAAAAATTGCGGAACAAGTCTGTCACGTTTGCAATCCCTTCCAAAACACTAAATTGCATAAATCTGAAAAAATAATAATTATTTTTACTAACATTTTTGTTCAATAGTAAATTATTTTTTATTTTAACTGTTATAAATCATAGTGTGTGCAATGAAGACATATACATATAAAGAAGATTAACTTTGAATTTCAAATAAAACGGTTAAGTATAACTTAAGCTATATCACTAGAAATAATACAAATTCTCTAAAGGGCATTTTCTTGGAAAATTAAGCTTTAATAAGATAACAAAAAATTAATTTCTACACTAGAAACCTTTTATAGACACCATTACTTGGATTGAATAGGTTAGCTAAAGTTATATTAAAATCACCGAACCGAAGAGGTTAAATAAATTTTAATCTTTTTATATTTTAAGTTGATGGGCAAAACGTCAATCAGAAGATCGGAATTGATTAAATTGGCGATATGCGGTTTGGACGAAGGTCTAGACTAATTCCATTTATACCCAGCGTTAAGCCATATAATTATTAAGAAAGCTTGTTCACTTAATATCACTAAAATATCATACATATTAACCAATCTATACGGTTTAAAGACAAGTGGGAAGTCGGAAATTACTATGTAGGGTATATTGGGGGCAGTGAAACGGTTGAGCTGAATGCATTTATTTTTGCATTGCTGATATATTTGAGAACATTTTCAAGCAATTTCATAATTACTCGTTTATAACTCATACACTGAACGACATGTTCGGCATAAGGTTTATTAGAATAACAAAACTCATTATATGTACTGTATGGAAGACGAAGTAATTCGTCGACCATTTTCACATATTTTCGGCATTAAACTATAATTTATCAAATATAATATTATCCGCTCAGTTAATATGATAAGATATTACATATTGACTGATATTAATGGTATAAGGCCAATCGAAAACGAAATTTTATATTAGATATACATATGTATGTGAGACAAAACAGGATATCAATATATATATATACAATATATAATTAAAAATTCTTCATACCACCTAAGGAAGCGCTTTGGGGTTGCGCAAATGATCGCAAGTGCAGCGCGTGGTGTTTGAAGGAAGTAGTAAAACTATGGTTTATGTGAAATTGGAGTAATAAGCATACCCGATTTTATTAATTTTGGCAATACCTCATAATATTAGCAGAATAAAATGCTCCCTGAGTTCCATGAATGTGCTCACATACCATCAACAATATACATATAAGGTGTGAAAAGTTTTTTAAGTTCTCTGGCTGAACTGTTGGAGCATTCAAAACAAGACTGATGTTTCTACTCATGCATAGTTTTTTTTTCTTGTTAAGTATTTTTTTAATTATAAAATTGTAGTATTTTTAGCTAAATATATATATAATATGTTCATATTCCGAAAATTATAACTGCTAGAGAAAAACTGACTACATATTTGGAATCAGCATGGCAAAACATACAAAAGCGGGTAATAAACGTTATAAAACAAAACTACTGTTCCCCAGTGTTATGCTTGATTATATTGATCTCTCGTTCAAACTTGCTCTAAGCAGCTACTAAAGATATTTACTTTGCTGATATTAAAATTTGTTCATTGATTTTATATAGAAAAAAAATTTACATGTGCTTGTAATAAAACACAACTAAACTTTAAACACTTACATACTACTTAGTTCTCTATAATGCCAGCGCACATAGCATTCTCATATGAACATAACGAGAAATTGCATATAAAAAAGAAAAATTGTATATTATATATTTAATTAGTAGAAAAAATTTATAATCTTAATACATATTCGTAATATGAATGCTATTTGATTAAATTCAGAATGAAATGAGTATTACAACCAAAAGGATTGTTATCTAATATTATAGTTATTGAGAGTAGAAATGTAAGATTATAAAGAGTACCACCCACCATGAATTATGGTATATATACCAAAACCTATATAATCTAACTGTGTATAAACAATATACACATAGAATCTGAAATAAGATCTCTTGCAGAAAGGTACGAACGGATAGATGTCAATAAAGCAACTAGGATTGCTTTATAATCATGTTAAGCCAATTGAAATAATTCATGCATGTTTATCTATGTGACGCATTGCAAGACGGTTAACCCTAAATTATCCCTGTGCTGCGGCCGAGTTTTACAAGACAAGTTAATAATTATCGCATCTCTCACACTTTTAAGGAGGATGAGGCCGTACTGTTGAACGCGCGTGTCTTGCAGTAAGCAGTGACGAGCGATCACTTGCTAGTAGACGTGTCCGCTCAGTCAGACTATACCATATTTAGATAATATCTGCTATCCTTCCTGGCAACCAGTTCGGATCTTCGCGCCTTGCCCGGCTGCCTCTTGGCGCCTGATATATCTTTCTTCTATTTTTATAGCTTTCCATGTTGCCGGAGCCGTGTGGCTGCTCCGCGAGCAACAAACTAAACTGTCATCCTGTGTATATGTCGAGGACGGAATATTTAATTTATTTTAATATTAGATCAGTAGATATCCTTGGTTTGCCGGTTATCTTGTTTGAATTTTCTACTTATTTGTTCTTCGTAGCTTGCTTGTCGTTTTTGACAAAGAAATCTTGCCGCTTTTCAATTTCGTCTGTAGGTGGGCTAGACAATCAAATATATAAAACAATTAACAGTAAAACACATTCATATAATCTGAAATCTTAGTTTTGGTGGGGACTGGAATTACATGTCGTTGTGAACAGCCTATGTTGATCATGTTTACCTAGTCCATAATTTATAAAAAATAATTTTAATTCCAATTGCGACAAATTGCAGTAAATGCCGACTTCAAATTTATTTTTATTTCAAAACATTATTTG